AATTCCGCCCTAATCTATAGGTCTAATTTAATATTATAGTCCCTATTCCTAAGTCTAGTATTACTAATTTAGGTACTAATAGCTATATTTATAAGAAGAATTACCTAAAGTAGATTAAGAAGCTTAGTATTCGAGAGCTCTTAATAAAAGAAATAGAGATACTATAGTTCTATTTCCGAAAAGATAATATATTAATATATAAAGATCTTAGTAATAGCTACTTAACCTTAGTTTCTTAATTTTTAATAATAGATCTATTAATATAGCTCGGATTTTATAAAATATTAAGTAAGTATTTTATTTATCTAGTTATTTATTCTTAGCTAGCCTAATACTTTATTTCTAGAAATATTAATTATAATTAGTATAAAGATAATACTAAAGATCTAGCTATTACTAAAGCTTTAAATAGCGAATTCTATCTTAGTAAAAAGTATTAAAATATTAGCTATATTTTTCTTATAGATTATAAGAAGGCTATTATCTTTAATAAAAAGTTTTTTAAAGATATTAATTACTTCTCTATTTCTAATAAATTTAAGCTAGAAATAGCTAAAGAAATAGATAAGTATTTACTAAAAATAATAGAAAAAAAGACTTTAAATATAATTTATTTAACTAGATAAATAAATACCTTTAGCTAGGTAATCTATAAGTCTGAAATTATAGAAAAGTATTAATTCTCGAATAATATATAAGTTAAATAATAGCTTAATAATAATTTATTACTTAATAGGCCTTTTACTATAGTTTCTATAAGTCTAGTTACTATTAAGGATAAAATATATGAAAATAAAATCTCTTATAAGATTATTAAAGCCTCTTATCTAGAGCTTTTCTTTCTTATTAAAAGTTAATTTAAAAATATTATAAATAATATAAAATTTAAAAAAGCTATTTATTTAAAGTATATTAGTATAATTTATAATATAATTTGCTATAATAAGTTTCCTTAATACCCTATAGTAAAGGCAGAAATTAAGTAATAGTTAAAGGTAAATACTAATTAATATAAAGAACTATATTAGATTTAGTATAAAAATATAGCTAAGCGGGTTCGGATTATTTTTAAGTAAATTCGGGAATATGAAATAAGACTATTTAAAGATAATAAGTCTTATTTTAGGTATATAAAGAAGAAGTTAGATTAACTAATAAAGAAAAATCCTAAATATTTTATTATTTCGGATTCTAAATAGAATTTTTCTATTATTTTTAGTACTTAGAAAATAAATATAAATAAATAAAGGATTAGATATAGTATAGCAAGCCATATTTATTAAAAATTATATTATTTTAGTAATTTTAAGATTTAGGTTATATAATAAAGGCTATAGCCTTTTATATATAACTTGCGGAAATTATATAAAAAAGCTAGTTTTTTTATAGACTTAGAGAATAATTCTTTATAAGTATTTAATTAATTAAGCTTTTATATACTATATACTATTTATACTTTACTATTTATACTTTTAATTTATTATTTTACTATTAAGTTACGTTTTATATTCTAGTATACTTTATATAGGTTTTTGTCTTATTATAGTTTCCTTTTTATATTATTTAGTAAGATAAGTATATTTTTAAGGAAATATATAATAGTATTATAGGATTTATCTTTAAATAAAAATACTATAGGATTAATAATAAATTCCTTAAAGCTTTCTATATAATATATACTTAGTAATTTACTAATATTCTCTTTATTAATATATGAAAGATTAAGAATATTCTAAAAATAATTACTAAGATTTATAAAATTACTAAAAACAAGAAATATATTTCTATTACTTAAGTAAATAAGAAAATATAAGATTTTTTCTTTAAAAACTAGAAAATTAAGAAATATAAATATAAGTATTATATTTCTAATTAATTTTGCCCTAATCTATAGCTCTAATTTAATACTATAGTTCCTATTCCTGAGTCTAGTATTACTAATCTAGATACTAATAGCTATATTTATAAGAAAAATTATCTAAAATAAATTAAGAAGCTTAGTATTTGAGAGCTCTTAATAAAAAAGATAAAAATACTATAATTTTACTTCCGAAAAAATAATATATTAATATATAAAGATCTTAGTAATAGCTATTTTACCTTAGTCTTTTAACTTTTAATAGTAAATCTATTAATATAGCTCGGATTTTATAAGATATTAAATAAGTATCTTATTTATCTAGTTACTTATTCTTAGCTAGCCTAATACTTTACTTCTGGAAATATTAATTATAATTAATATAAAAGTAATATTAAAGATCTAGCTATTACTAAAGCTTTAAATAGCAAATTTTACTTTAGTAAAAAGTATTAGAATATTAGCTATATTTTTTTTATAGATTATAAAAAGGCTACTATTTTTAGTAAAAAGTTCTTTAAAAATATTAATTACTTTTCTATTTCTAATAAATTTAAACCGGAAATAGCTAAGGAAATAGATAAATATTTACTAAAAATAATAAGAGAAAAGATTCTAAATATAATTTATTTAACTAGATAAATAAATACTTTTAGCTAAGTAATCTATAAGTCTGGAATTATAGGAAAGTATTAATTCCCGGATAATATATAAATTAAAAGATAGCTTAATAATAATTTACTATTTAATAGGCCTTTTATTATAATTTCTATAAATCTAGTTACTATTAAGAATAAAATATATAAAAATAAAGTCTTTTATAAGGTTATTAAAACCTTTTATCTAGAGCTTTCTTCTCTTATTAAAGATTAATTTAAAAATACTATAAATAATATAAAATTTAAAGAAGCTATTTATTTAAAGTATATTAGTATAATTTATAATATAATTTATTATAATAAGCTTCCTTAATACCCTATAATAAAGGCGGAAATTAAGTAATAATTAAAGGCAAATACTAATTAATATAGAAAACTATATTAAATTTAATATAAGAATATAGTTAAGCGGGTTTGGATTATTTTTAAGTAAGTTCGGAAATATGAAATAAGACTATTTAAAAGTAATAAGTCTTATTTTAGATATATAGAAAAGAAATTAGATTAATTAATAAAGGAAAATCCTAAATATTTTATTATTTCGGATTCTAAATAGGATTTTTCTAATATTTTTAGTATTTAAGAAATAAGTATAAATAAATAGGAGATCGGATATAGTATAGCAGGCTATATTTATTAAAAATTATATTATTTTAGCGGTTTTAAGATTTAAGTTATATAGTAAAGGCTATGGCCTTTTATATATAACTTACGGAAATTATATAAGAAAGCTGGTTTTTCTATAGACTTAGAAAATAATTCTTTATAAGTATTTAATTAATTAAGCTTTTATATATTATATATTATTTATATTTTACTATTTATATTTTTAATTTATTATTTTACTATTAAGTTATATTTTATATTCTAGTATACTTTATATGAGTTTTTGTCTTATTATAGTTTCCCTTCTATAATATATAATTAACTAGACTATATATTATAGTATTAAAGTTTTTAAAGTTATTCTAAAATAGATCCTATAAATTATTATTACTTTTCTTATATAAAATATACTAATATATCTTAGTAATTATATATTTCTAAAGTTTAGCCTTTATTATAATTACTAAATTAATACTATTTTCCTATTTCTTAATTAGTTTCTTTCTCTTATTAGTATTTATACTAAATTGAGTTCAGGTTCTCTCTAGTATATATATATAATTTATAGCAAGAAGAATTCAAAGATAAGATAATTTATAATAGATTTATAGAAAGAGTTTAGTAGTAAAGATATCCCGATATCTAGTTCAAATACTAGATACCTGGTTTAGATACCTGATTAAGATACCAGATACCTGGTTATTAAGATACTAGATACCTGGTTTAGATATTAGATACCTAATTCAGATATTTAGTTAAAATACTAGATACCTAGTTCAGATACTAGATATCCTAGATATCTAGGAGTATTAAGGATATTAAAGTAAATATTTTGCCCTTAAATATTTTATCTATAATAAGAAATTTAAAAAATAAAATATTATAATTCCGGAAGAGTTTAAAGCTTAAAGAACTCGATTTAATAATAAAATCAAAGTAGTAGTTAAAGAGCTTTAAGGGCATATATAGGATATATATTCCAGAGACAAGGTCTTATAAATACAGGTATTATATAAATAGAAAAGATAATTTCTAAAAAAGTAGTTTTAGGGCTAAAAGAAGTTAGTTTTAAAAGATAGTAGAAGTTAAATAAATAAATAGTCAAATAGCTAACCGTTTACTAATTAGTAAAAGCTAGGTATTTTCTTTATAGGCTATTAAATACTTTTATAAAGTTAATAAATAGTTTCCTCTTTTAATATAAAATAGACTAGATTTATCTTAGGCTATTAAATACTTTTAGAACTAATCTAAAATCTTCTCTAATATATATATAAACTAATTAGTATTAGTTTACTAGTAATATATAATACTATTATATAGGTATAGAAATATTAGTTATATTAAATTAGTAAAGTTATTATTATTTAGAAATAGGAATTATAGTATTATAGTATTAATATATAATTCCTAAATTTACTAAGCCTAAAGGAGTCTAGTTTACTAGTCAAGTTATTTATAGGATATAAGGTTATATAACTATATCCCGTATTTCATATCTTATTACCTATATCCCGTATCTTATATCCCGTATCTTATATCCCGTAACTATATATATAACTCCCAAAGAAATAGCTATATTAATACTAACTAATAATATATATAAATTTCTTTAATAAATATAATTTTAATAATAAGGAAAAGTATATATAAAATTATATAAAATACTTTATTAAACTCTTATTATAGTTAATAATACGTCCTATATTATTTCATATATAACTTTATTTTTAAATCTTTATTAAAAAAATTCATTTAGAAGAGTTTTAAATTTTTAAAATATAATAATAAATAAAAATATATATCTTACTTTAATAAAGCCCTTTTGCGTAATTATTGAACTTTACTAAAATATTCTTATAACAATGAAAAGCTCGTTATAACCCAGAGTCGTCCTTTACATAGTAAGCAGTCGGTTGATACGCATCCCAAGCTTTACACGGCGCATCCAAAGTACTTAAAGACATTAGTCCCGAAATCTCGCTCTCGCGCTCCAGAAACTGTACTGCGAGACCTTCGCCTACGTGCCAGGCCTATTGAATCTTACATCAGCTTACAGCTTTCCAACATCTTGTCTTTCCTCATGTGAAGTGTCCAACTATTCAAGAGAATGAACTCACAATATGACAATGCATCAACCATGCACCAGGATTGTCCGTCAAGAAAGCAATGACAAGCCACCCACCTGACGACGGCGGGCCACCGCCAGCAGGGGCTGCAGGCGCGGGAAGCATTGCGACATCCCGTCGAGGAGGATTCGTGTACTGTAAGGTTGAGGCGAACGAGTTATCCCAAGCTCCCAAACCAGTTCCTAAAAGGTAGAAATCATGGCCATGCTTTCAAGTATCAGTCACATGATCATGACAGGGCTCAAGAAACTCACGAGATGGATTGGGTGAGGGACGCTGAGGAAACCTGTCGATTGAATGATCCAGAAGTAGTACTGCATTGGAAATTAGCTTTCTGGTTTCGATTGATGGATGGCTGCGACTTACGGCATTGGCTTCGGGCAACTTAATGAGGTTCAAGTCCACCGGAAAAGAGTCATTACTCTCTTGGACATACTTCAGAGTCGGCAGTTCCCAGTCGATGTCAAGCGGTGTTCCATTAATCGTCCACGTTACGATATTTCCAGTTTGTCCGGGTACACCACCGCCATTGAGTGAGACATTAAGCTGTTGAACGTGGGTGAGGAAATCCCCGGAAGGAACATCCTTCTTGACGTAGGGGACGATTGTAGTCTCATCCGAACAGCGTTGGGTATAGGCTGCTCCAAGCGTCGTCGGATCACCAACTGGTGCCCCAGCGTAATTGAAGATCGCTTTGATGTTGAAATTATTGTTATTGGCACCGCAGGCCAGTTGGACATCCGCTCGAAACCAGTAACTGGATATGGCCTGAGTCGCTGTTATGATAACATCGTAGCGTTGACCGATTCCAATGAATAGCCATTGCGTTGAGTAAGGGACAATAGGGACAAAGTCTGCCTGAATCACGGTGAGATTGTGTCCATCGAGGGAGACCATGAAGTGATTGTCCAACGAGGTGTTGATAAGTCTAAGACGGTATTTCTTTCCCTTGGTCATAGTCACAGTGTTGTAGGCTCCTCCACCACCGGCGGTCGGATTCACCATCGTTCCATTGATCAACCCATTGTCCGCTGCTGGTGGACCTCCTTGTGCTGCAATCTCGGCTTCTTGGAATGCGGTTGGATGGTACCAATCTGTGATGGGCATTGCGCCAAGGTCGATGTCGTAATTCGCTGTCGCTGGTCCGTAGATTACTATTGGCCCAAGAACCCCATCTCCATATTGCGCTGAGAAATGCGAGTGGTACCAGGTCGTCCTAAATTGTTGTTAACAACTTCTTCAGTACCATGGACTGATTGAAAGTACCCAAATTGTGTGCAGAGAAAAGTATATGTCTTTGTCTCTCCAGGAGCAAGGGGGCACTACAAGCTTGTCACTATCCGGTCAACTCTTTGAGAAAAATTCCTGTTGATACCTCTGTAATGCCATTGGTGCCATCCATATTGCAGGAGTTCGCCTGCCGAATGCCGTGCCAGTGCATGCTCGTTCTGGGAGGGTTCAGCAACTTGTGCCTCGCGAATTATTTCTGCGGGACACTTACCCATTGTTCTTCAAGCTGTTTTTGACAGTGACTTGTAGTGTATCACCCCAATCTATAATTTCCATTAGTAATGGCAACTACAATCTTCAGTCCCGCTCAGATACAAAACTTACTTGCAGAAATCGTAGGTCCTGGATACTGGCCATTGATGGCCCTGAAGTTTTGTTAATGTCTTTTCATCCTCTCGTAAATCTGCTGGACATACATCACAAGACGAGAGTACCCATCTGGAGCCAAGGTTGTGTTCGTTATCTCGAGGTGGTACTAGAAAAAGTCAGAAATCTCAATTAAGAAACCCGGGACTCTCTTACCGAAACAGTTTTGCCAGTGACTGGCCATTTCGTGTCATAGTCAGTCGCAATACTGAACCCATTTCCCCAGCACTGTCTCGTAAAAGGTCCGTTTGTGCAGCTGGAATCAGCAACTTTAGTAGATGTCGATGTCTGAGAAGTCGTCGTCGTCGCTGTTGAGGCAAAGGAGGCGAGGCTTGCTAGTATAAAAGCCAGGAGTAACATCTTGATTGATCTGAAGAGCAACTATTTCTTTCAATCACTCGCAATCTGAATGAGTGAATGAAACGGGAGCACGATATACTGCTTCCGAAGTGCGGAAGCTTTTCCTGCCCAGGGATCACCCATTACCCCCCGAGGATTCCATTCTAAGAATGAGAATTGGACCGCTTGTGTGAAGCTTACTTTCAATATTCTGGCCATGTGCCATTTATCATTGGACAGCCACTCGTTCAGCTTCCCCGTTTGCAACAAGGAATAAGCACCTCACAGCTCGAGGGATGCCTGTCAATGCATCGAGGCTGACACGGGAATCAACGCCCGTGCCCCTCCAGGTCCCTCATCCCAACTTTGAGATCCATGCACATACAGGTACTTTCGTTAGGGAGATGCAACTTTGATGTAGTCATGCAGCACACTTCAAGAAGTTAAGCTTTGTGGCAGTTTGTGATAGGCACTCAGCCTCCGCTTCGGTCACTGTTTTGCGGCCCGCTACTCACACGGACAAATGCTTATGCCCAGAATACGAGCATCCCCATAATGGCTTGAAGCTGGAGATCAGAAATCAGGGGTCGGTATGTGGAGGATGCAGCGAGACACTGAGGCGTTTGGGGCGGGAGGCTGGGAGTGGAGAGCGAAGTCGTATGACTTTCCGAGTATTGATCATGAAGGGCCGCCGGGGTACAGAATGCCTCTGATCGGGGTTCAGCCCGGCGCAAATCATCTTCATGATAGCCTGCGGCCCTGGGTCAGATGTTAGCTTCATGTGTTCATCCTCGCGGATCATCGGAGTTGAGTTATTCCTTGCTTGAGGTGACCTGCGAAATTCCTCTTGGACGGGTCCGTGCTGGTTCTCCCCCACAACAGCCCGATCTTTTCCCCACCCCGGGAGGCTGAACAACCATAAAAAAAATCGATGTCGCACAAGAGTGGCACAGCACCCCAGAAATAGCTCCCAATCCTAGACTTGCAAGGTCGATCGTTTGACAGCTCATGCTTATTACCCCGCAGGCCTGAGTTCCGCCGTGTTGGGCGCATTATCTTGCACCATCTATTGGCCAGAGCTCAATCTGCAAAGATCAGATAGCTGACTCCTCCAGTGGGCTGAGAAAACTTCAGACGAGATACGAGCTCCATCGATCGCTCTGCATGAAGCCTTGCTACAGCCGTGTGGTTTTCTACCATTGATCAACTGTATTGGCGCCTTTGCGTTAAGCCAAGGAAAGGCATTATGTTGAGTATCAATTCAATATCTTGTTTTTTCTGCATAGTATGTAACTGCTGTTTCTATTTCAGGTTCACTTATTCCGTTGAGATATGCTTTGGTATGGTCTCTTCATCAGGATAATTGTTGACATTTCGATGTGCCCTCCTTGTTTGCCCGCTTTATGAAAAGTTGATCCTTGTCGAGACATGCTGGGAGCATCCCGGATCCTTCCAGTAACCCCGACCCGCCATTCATCTGGTGCCTTGTGTTGGTCTGGTCGTATCGATATGCATGGCCACACATTAATTTGCAGGGGGCTCGAAGCCTCATTGAAGCCACAGACCAATGACGTTACCGCGTTGCCTCTGCTCTGGGCACTTTGGTTGGCCTCTTCCCGGGTCCGCTTCCTCCAGCCGCTGAGCATTGAACAACACCGTGAAAACCTATCAGCGTGGATCCTTGATGATATCAAAATCCTAGTACCATGTGCCTGTGATCTATGACCCTTGTGTCAGCCCGAGTAGCGGTTTCTGTGTACCCTGAACAGTTCCCGGGTTCCTGCCGATGTCCATTCAGTCCACCCCTCAAAATCTTCAGCAATTCAAGTCCTGAATGTTTTGAACGATTCATACTTTGCGAACAATAGTTGTACTTGTCACAATGCTTCGCGGCTCTATCCTGCTCCTAGCTATTGGATTTGCGGTACGAGGCGCTGCTCAATGTCAGTCATATGGGTATGATTTTGTCGACGGCGGTAGCTACTTTCAAAACATATCATCTAGCGATGATTTCACTTTCATCAGCTACTTCGAAGGTTGTGAGGGAGAAGGGTCAATCACTCCTATTCTCGTAGATCCAAACGAGAATGAGTACTTTTGCTCTGATATTGCTACAAGCCCCGACGATGCTTTATTCACCTCGACATGGTAAGGTTTGAATGGCCAAGTAAAGGATATCAGCTAATAATCGGAAGCCCCATAACAAAGTCCGAAATGTTTTCTGGCACCTGGTACCTTGTAATCGAGGGTCCTGACTTTGCATATACAAGAACTTTCTACCTCACGGTAGATGTTCCGACGACAATCATAGTAACTTGACCCCAATTTTGAAAGAAATTTGAACTAACAACCCCCTAGGCCACTCCGACAGGTACGACTTTCGAAGGTGGTTGAACGAAAGTTGAAACTGACCTTTCTTAACAGACGTTTTTGGCTATACTATCACCCCCAATGCTACCAGTGAGTGGGCACGAAATGACCCGTGAACGTGCAATCCTAACGTCGCCCACTAGCTGTCACGTCAAATATAACTGAGACGGATTCAACAACCTTACCAGTCAGCACAACGACCGTACCGTGTCAAACATACATCAAGTTAACAACGACAACGCCAAAGAAGGTTACAGTATATTCCACCAAAACAATAACAAGGACTCGGACCGACGGTATTTGGACAACATCGACTTCCACCGTCATCTATAGCACTGCAAGCTGCACTCTGCCGCCTTACCCGCCCAAGCATGACCAAAAACTCATTGGAAGGTTTACTCCCAAGAACTCTCCAACTAGCCGCGGCAAGCAACAATATCACCCGCGTAGGACCCCTGATAGACATGCAGCCAGAAGGTTTCCTCTAGTAGAGCGAAGCCCAGGTAAGTCAGGTGATCTATATCAGCTCTTTAGTCGAGTGACTGACAAGCAACAAGACATGGCTACGACGACGGTAACTGAGGCTACATACACCTTTAACAGTACGACGACTGTGATACTTCCAACTCCCACTGTCACTGAGATTGGTAAGAAGTCGCTTGCGCTTTCTCCCCTTTCAGATTTTGCTGACGAAATATCTAGATGTCGTTACCACCACAAACACGATGTAAAGCCTGGTGTGAAGAATTCTAAGCCGTAAGCTAACAGCTTTAGAACACCCGCACCATGTACTGTTTGTAAGGGTATTACGATTCAAAAGAGTACGATTACGGCACCAACTCCAACACGGACACGGACTACGAGGACTTGGGTGACCGTCTGGACTACCAAAACGATCAGCATTGTGTAGGTTGCTCTCTGCTATCTTCTCAATTTAAATGTACTCATAACAAGAATAGACGAACGGAGACGAGTGTAGTGACGCCAACTGGAACGGCGGCAGCGTGTACGAAACGAGGAGGGCATATGTAAAACATCCAGGTCGGGGGAACTGTCTACGATTTACAAAATGATGATCAAATGAGTGAAGGCAAAGCGCAGAGGAGACGTAAAGAATTCCTCATGACTAATTAAAGATCCATCCCTTGCTCGCTGGTAACCATGTTTTCTCCCCCCGCTGTGCCTCGCCAGCTATGATCTAAATTCGAACCAGAATTAGGCAGAGATCAGAGGCAAAGCTCTCGGAGTTCTTTTTTCTTTTTCTTCTTCAAATTATGCCCTACATAGAGCAAGAGTGATTAATAGTTAGCATCTCGAAGTTCTCCACTGATCGAAGCGAACTGCCTTCTGGCCCCGGCATCGCGACTCGATAATGCATGCTGAGGATCAGTAAATCTGCTCTCAGAAAGGACGGCGAGCGACTTAGCTAATATTCATTCTTATCTAATCTTACATATTCACTGCTCCAATTCACACTGTTTTGTAATTTATGCAACGGGGCGAGACCCGAACTATATGCTTGGCTGGGAGCCTTAGCCAAGTCACATGATCACGGACTGGCCGTAGTCATGTGACGTGTCCCTTTGATTAATGGAGCAACCACGCGTCACTCAGGGCGCTCGGATGTCCCAAGGAACACGGTTTTCATTTCTCTCCTTTTCTTTTTCTTCTCTCCTTAGAGAATTCTACTTAATTAATCAAACCACTAGTCTTCTTTGCACAAAGGCCTGGCCTGTGACAAAGAGAACTACAGGGACGCCAATAAAACACCTCACCGCCTTGCTTTAAGAGTCCAAATTGCGGATAGTCAGATGCTCAATTCGTACTGTCCGGTGACGCGTCTGGTCTGTTATCAAGACATTTTTTGTTGTCAAATTTCCATACATTATCCCCGAGGCCAGAGTGAGAGCAGATCTTCCTCGGCATTTAGAGTTGAATATATGCACATTTTCGTTATGTCGCAGTCAACTGGACGGTTCACTGAAATTCGCTCCGTTTAGCGGAAAGTCATATTGACAAACTCCGTGTCATCTAGTCACAGCTGTGCTGGCTTTATGGGGCGCATGTGGAAGATGTGGGGAGTATATACCTACTCCTGAAGTGCGAAAGTGCTGAGGCTGATGATGGTGGTTCTTCCTCTTTATGTCCCTTTTGGGGTTCGTACTGTACGAAAGCGTGGGGAAAAGTGGGGGGTTTGGTTCCTGCCGTTTTAGGTTTTAGTGTGATGGACTGGCCTGGATCCAGGAACCTCACAGGGGCGATAACGCCTCCAAGCCCCTGCCGCGGTGCCGAGGATTGCTGTGCCGCCAGGCAGTCGTCCGAGTACGAGTACCAGTACTTAACTTCGACGACGGACAACTGCAAAACTTAGCCCTGATCTCGTTCTCACAACAATCTGTGGCACACCATGTTGCGCTCCGCCCTCGTGCTTCTTTTAAGCACTCAGTTTGCCCTCGGCGCTTCATTCCAGGACAAACAAGCGGTCCTCGTGCAATCTCCAGAGCTCCCAATTGCAAATGCACAGGCCGAGCACGTTGTGGACGAGGCAATCCTTGCAGCGCTCAAGACGCATTTTGACCCTGTTGCTGCACTACTTTCCCTCCAGCCCGAACTTGCAGCGGATCTCGCCCAAGAACGACTCTTGCATGTCGTTGGTGAGCAGAAGCCGGAATGGATGACGGAAGGAGATAAGCTGCGTCTGCGCAGACGCGGGAAGAAGTTCGTGGATATCACGGACCATGAAGAGTCCTATGCCCAGCAGGTGGGCATCTTGTCCGGTAAAGCTAGTGAGAGCCTCCTCAGCTCAGTCAAGGTGCTTTTGTTCACGCTGTTGCAGATCTCCCCGACTTGAGGCACCAGGGCCTTATTAAGCCTCTCTTCTCGCATGTCTCGACGCAAAGAATGCACGATGTGCTCAAACACATGACGGGGTACTACAATCGGTACTATGGAGGTACTTATGGCGCACTGAGTGCCGAATGGCTGCACGACCACATTGCCAAGGTATGCTTCTCCTCTCCAACTTAGCCTAGCACTGAGAAAGAGAAGGCACTGACCGAGTCGTGTCACAGATCATCAACGACTCTCCATTCGGCACCCACATCTCGCTCGAATACTTCACGCACCCTTTCCCCCAGTCCTCCATCATCGCGCGCTTCGAACCAAAGATCCGCAACTTTTCTCATCCGCTGACGATTCTCGGCGCGCACCAGGACTCTGCAAACTACCTCTTCCCTCTCCTTCCCGCACCGGGCGCGGACGACGACTGCTCCGGCACTGTCAGCATCCTTGAAGCATTCCGAATCTTGGCCGAGAGTGGTTACACACCCAAAAATGGACCGGTTGAATTCCACTGGTATGCGGCTGAGGAAGGTGGATTGTTGGGTAGCCAGGCGATTGCGAGGTACAAGAAAGAATCGGGAGCTTCCATTGGGGCTATGATGGAGTTTGTAAGTCCTCTGAAACCAACCTCATCTTCGCAATCAATGGCACTAATAGTCTAAAAAGGATATGACCGCCTTTATTGCCCGCAACGCAACTGAATCCATCGGGTTCATAAAGACCCAGGCGGACGAGGCGCTTACGAACTGGACATTGAAGCTGAGCAAGGAATACATCTCGATTCCCTCTGATATATACGAGCTAGCGGCGTAGGTTCACAACTTCCAATCTCGTTTTGACATAGGCAGTTGACGAAGTAGTAACGCTGGCTCGGACTACATGTCCTATACCAAACTCAACTATCCTGCTGCGTTCGCATCAGAGGGCGACCCACTGGCACAGGGTGGGTTCCCCGGTGATATGGATCCGTACGTGCATGGGGTGAACGACACGATGGATGTCGATGACGATACAGGCTTCTTCTCTCTCGACGTAAGTTAAGTCTCATTCCTATATTTGTTTGGAAAGTTGTTAAGATTGGCTGGCAGCACATGGCACGATTCTCGGAGCTCGCGATCGCCTTTGCTGTGGAGCAAGGCGGGTGGGACAATAGCTGGCGGTGAACTAGCCCACTCGAGGCTATTTGCTCTAAGAACTGCCTTCAAATTTATAGAATTTCTATTGGTTTTGCCCGAGAGCACATATCGCATCTCGGAAGTTTACCCGTACCTTACAATCTTCAGGTTGAGTCAGGATATATCCAAGATGGATCAAGGTTAATTCATCTTGCTTTCATTCGATCAAGTTTTCAATGTCAGCAGGTCTGGTCATGAAGTAAATGTTCGAAGCGTGGCTAGAACATTGATCGCTCCCAGCAATGTTCCAGGAATTTTGGACATCCGATTATTATTGGTGTAGCACTTTCCACTTCCACAGAGATTCAAACCACCAATACAGTTTGACCCTGCTCCTCAGCTCTCAGCATCCTCTCACCCAGCTCCGCAACCTTCACTGCATCCCACACAACCTCAATCCTCCCCTCCGCCAACCTCAAAATTCGAATAGCCTCTTCCCTTATCCCTCGATTCCGACAAATCATAACCGCAATAAACAACGCCGGGACCACCCCACAGTCAAACCCAAACGTCTTCTTGAACCGATGATCCAGCACCACGCGTCTCGTCAAGTCGAGAATCTCTCTTGCTTCGACTTCAAACAGCTCTTTCGGACGCTTGTCAATCTTCAGACATACTCTCTGAACGGAGATATCCGTGCCTAGAGCAAGGCAGCGCAGCGTCGCTGCGCCGATGAAATTTTTATCATCAGGACGCAGGGCGGCGTCGAAGAGCGGCTGGAAGCTTCGGTACCATTGTTGTAGCTGCGAGCCTAGGATCTCATAAACGCTTTCTGACACCGGGCACGCGAATTTGTCACCGTACATGAATGTATCTGTCAGATGGGAGAGGTACGGCATAGCTCTGAATTGGAAGTGCTCTAGGTAACCCTTTGCCTCGACGAGGTCGCGGAACGAAGGAGGCATGTATAAATGCTCATCGATGTACGTGATATCAAGGAAGCTGTAGCGCGGCCGGTAAGGATCGCCGAGTATACTCGACATAATGGTGTTATCGAGACGGACGAAGATCTCCAGTACTTCGTCCTCGAGACCCGGGATCGAGGACAGCCGCCGGATCTGTGAGTATTTCCGACTCGAGGTGTCGAGCCGCTTTTTCATCATCTTTAATGTGGCTTTGGCGTGCTCAACTGCTTGCTCGGGATTCCCGTGCATCGACTCGAAGCTGAAGATTAGCAGGGAGGCGATCAGCATCGTGCGGATGGTTTCTAGGTCGTTGGAAGAGGCGACCATCTCGCGCATGCTGCGGAGCGCTTGTCCGTATTTGATCACCGCGAACTCTCGATGTTTTTCCCTTGCCCCAAAAGGGGATTTGGATTTCCCGAGCGCAGCGATGGCGACTGTGAGGTAGCGCAGGGTAGGCGAGTCGTTGCAGGCTTGTAGGACAACGTAGTTCCAGCACTTAGTTGGAACGTGCCCCGCCAGGTCGTGGACTACCTCGTCCCGGAAATAGAGCCAGTATTGATACTCTTCCTGGTCTCTAAAAAGGGCTGTCATTGGCAGTATGGAAATGTGTAGCGGGCAGCTGTGGCTTGGCAGGAGGCGTTTCTTGGCGGAAGAAGCAGGGGCGGGAGGCTTCAAATAGCCATTGCATGAAACGCCGAACTTTGTACATCTCTGGCAGCTTGGCTTCGTTTCGTCGCATTTGACTCTCCGTAGTCTGCGGTCCCGTCAGCGAAGATGCCCATTTTGCGATGAACTCGCATGACCGCGTCAAATGCTGGCGAGGGATAGGAGAGAGCACTTGGGGGGAATTTGGAGAGACTCACTTGCAAGTCCTACATCCATTTCTGGTCTTGGGTTTCTTCGCCCGCACCCGATTGATCTTTTCTGGATAAACCTTCACCCGTTTGCTCGTCTGACCGGACGACTGGGATTCGCCTGACGAGGATGTTGCGCCCTCGTGTCCGGCTGCTCCCTCCGCCATCCGTGAACGTCGAGGTTCGGCATGTTTGTTGCTGAAGCTAACGTCCATCTGAGACGTATTAGAAGGACGTTGGAACAAGATGAAGAAAGTATGTCCTTTGTAAGGCTGGCTCGAGGCTGAGAAGGTTAGACAGAAGTGAGATCTGGGTTAGGTTTGGTCCCCACTCGTGTTAGTGCTTATGGACAGGGGCTCGGTTGTTGTACCGCTGACCAATCAAAACATCTGATTTTTGAGAGGCACGTGAGCGCTATTCTCTTCTCAGTTTCGTCGTCAATGCTACTTCAAACATCCAAATTCTCAGCAGTCATCTTCATCCCTTCAAACTCATCAATCAACAAACCTCTCTAACTCCATTGTTCCCGATTAGCTCAATGACATTCTACCTTGCTCCAGGCTCAAGTCATGGGGTCAGGACTCTCGTGAAACGAAAACGCTCTGTTCCTCCCTGTCCGGACTCGACTAGCCCTCTCCCAACACATCTCGCAAAAGAGCACCGTTTCTAATCAAGGTCATACACTCCAGGCATAATCCCGCTACAAAATGGCTATTCGACTCCCGCGATCTAAAGTCCGAGGAAGATGCATGAGAACAGGCCGTCTTTGAGGCTGAAACCTTAAGCCCCTCAACCAGGTAGCGATCGAAGATCATACAACGCGATAAGATCAGATGTAGCCAAGAGCTTGATGCGCCTTGGCTTTCCTTATCGTCGGAGCTGGTTCCCACACTCTGACTGAAACGAGCTCCTTTTCTCGGTATGAGGGAATGTCATGAGGAGTCCGGGCTTGAGGTCTGGACTCCCCCGTGATCTGGGCCGGATCTTATATGATGATCAGATATTTCCCAGTGGGACAGTCGGTGATCTTTTTGGCTGTTGTGTCGTCACAATATTAAGTTAAGTTGGAGAACCATCAAGATGTTGGTCCCTTCAGTAATTCTAACTTTTGCTTTCTCATACGTCGTTGATGCTGGCTATTCATTCGATATTACACCTGCATATCAATCCCCGCTCAATGAGCTATCACCAAACGCTTTCTGCCCTCTCAAAGATGTTTTCCCATCGAAATTGAGAGCGCATGCTTATTCAGAGACATGCTCACATCACCACGACGACCATGTGCTCCAAAATAATATTTCTTCGGCTTTCTTCGACCCCTCCAGAGACCCTTGGACTATTGCGCCAACATGCCTGCCCAATACGTCCGACGATGAGAGATTCTGCGCCTTCACGTCCCAGAGCTTCTGGGGCGGCAGAGGAATCACCACCCTAACAAAGTCGTCCATCGCTCGCGAGATAGCCCAACTCCCCGCTTTCACTGAACCTACGAATAAAGCCTCCTCCCTCTCCGAAAACGACACTCGCGACCCTCCCTTCTACGTCACCGCCATCCCAGGCCGAGGAATGGGCCTCATCGCAAACGGCACAATTGAACGAGGCGATCTAATCAAAGCCCACGCGGGCGTAGCAATCTTCCACAACGACTGCGTCGACAAATCCTTCGACGACTACCTCCCCCACAAAGAAGCCCTCACGAAGCTCGCCGTCAACCAACTTCCACCTCCAACCCGCGACCTCTTCCTTTCCATGGCCGCACACAACGAGTCCGAAGAACCGTACATCGAGAAAATATATACGAATACATTTGGCGAGGATTTTGGGGAGGAGGAGCACTCGCTCGTGGTGCCCGAGACGGCTAGGATGAACCATGATTGTCGGCCCAATGCGATGTATTATTTTGACTGGAACACGTTGGTACACTACACGCATGCTTCGAGGAGGATTTATGCTGGGGAGGAGATCACGATTACGTATATCGATCCTTTACAGACGAGGTTGAGGAGGAGGGCAGCGATCAAGAGTTCGTGGGGCTTTGATTGCAGCTGCAGCTTGTGTTCGGCTGAGAATCACTTTATCCGCGAGTCGGATCGACGGGTTATAGAGATCAATAGGATCAGCAAAATCTTGGATGAGGTGGTGAGCCAGAATGAGACGGAGAGGGAGGCGGCGAGGAAACACGTTTCGGCTGCGGCGGAGATGGCGGACTTGTTGGTTAGCTTGTATGAGCAGGAGAGGCTGCATGCTGGTATTGCAGATGGATATAGATTGGCGGCGCTAGTCTACGCAAGTATTGGGAATGAGTGGAGGGCCGTGAAATGGGCAATGATGGCTGCTGATATTGGGCTCATCCATGATGGGCCCGAGGACGAGGGTGTCCTTGATGTGAGAAGACTATTGCTTGCGCCGAGGCAACATTGGAGTTGGGCTGTAAATTTATGACATTTGTAGCTGTAGTTAGTGAATGTAATGGTCCTTTGCTTCTTAACTTGGGAGCTAGCTTTTGGCCGATTTGAGGAAACATTGAAGTTGTCGATGGCTGGGGCTTCGAGCAGGACTAATATAATGATGCAATGGTTTAAATGTTTTATCGAAGATATTTGATTATCTATCTTCTCGGATACTGAGCAAGAGATTCTCCAATATCCTCTGATTATCTTTCACTTCTGTTATATTTATCATTCTGACGACGTGACTCTATTCCTCCACATTCAGTTGAACTCCCCTGCTTTCCTCCCATCTCCTCCATCACCAGGATTCCCTCATCCGTTATTGCTACCCCCTCGCTATCCCGAGTCCCCTCAACACCCCCATAGCCTCCCATCCCGCCGCCCTCCTCGTTGCCGACAAAGCCACCACTAAAGACTGGGTATAAACCCATACGGGGACATAAACCCACCAGTGAACCCCTGATCAACAGTTATCTCCTTACAGAGCCTCAGTAACTCCAACAAACACATTCCAGCACCTCATCCGACGTCGGCATCGTATCAGTTGGAAGATTCGGCTTCATTGGTCCATGAAGCAAAAGGTACGTCTGTAACCCCTGCGCTCTCACCATCTTAGCAGCAGTGTAACTATGACCCTTCGGGTTCGTAAAATCCTCTCATGAAGCTACTAAAAGCGCTCATTCACTACACCTGCTACGTTCTCAACTCCTCCATCTCCCCGTTGAAAAGAGTGACTTCCTCGGTACTCCCTATAAATGGACATTCCGGTGGATCGCGACTCTCGACATTCGGCATACTTCGATATTGGATATGTCATAGATATCTCCTAGCTGTTTGCGTGTCGATGAATTAGCTAGGGACCACGTGTAGCTTGATACGGTAATAATCACCCTCCCGCCCGCCTCCTAAAAATGCTATGCCGCACTCCACGAAAAAATTAACCACTAATATTTAAGGTTCATAGCCTATAATTTAGCGACCAGAGCCCTATAATTTAGTAATTAGAAGCCTATAATTATAACGCTTACGCCCGACTCTTAACTCTCGACTCTCGACCCTCGACTCTCGAAGTTCGCTTTCCACTTCTCACTTTTCTACTTCTCCATTTTTATCTTACGCCGCTGCCCTTCCTCCCTCCCCTACCGCTATACTTATATATATATATTAAAGAGAGAGAGTAAAGATTTTAAATAATAGTTTGAGACTTGAGAGGGGCGTGGTAGTGGGCATGGTCAGGTAGGAAAGTGCGGAAGATTTTTGGTAGGGTGAAACATGCAAGCGGGATACAGCGATATTAGTAACAATCGTCTAAATCGCATTTTGAGCGCGAGCGCAAAAAGGGTCAGGAACACCAAACCCATAATATTAATTATATCGACTGTATCACCATTTATTAATAGAACTCCATAATTTTAATTGAAATAGATGGGGGCATTAGTGCGATTAATTTAAGCTACTATAGTCCTCTTCTGGACTTATAATTTCTAAGTTATTTGAGATCGGGCGAAAATGCGATTTTCTAGCCTTGCGCGCCAAGCTTTGCCAAGCCCAGCCCCTCGATTTTCGATTTTCGTATCCCTCCGACTCCTTTTCTAAATAACTTTCAAACCATACTTCTAGACTTAGTACTCTCGGGCTTAAATAGATTATATAAGTATCCCCTTACTCTCTTTAGGAGTTTATATTATTATAATACGATTTGGGACTATAGCCGGCAAAATAATACTATTTTATACCAAAATTAAATGTAAAAACTACCCTTTATTAAATTATATAATTAATCTGCTTCTAGCCAAAGAGCCTTCTTACTAAAAGAAAGCCCCAGATATTCCCTTACTCTCTCTAAGAGCTTAGACTATTTTAATAAGGTTTGGGACCGTGGCCGGCGAATTAATACTATTTTATACCAAAATTAAAAGTAAAATCGCCATTTACTAAATTGAATAATTAATTTGCTTCTAGCCAAATAGACCTTTATCTAAAGAATGCCCCAAATGCCCCCATTAATTTGAGCCTATCACCGTTTTAATTAAGGCTATTATTATTGAGAAGTCGTAGAAAATAATTTCGTGGTTTTGGTGTTCTCGACCCTTTTTGCGCTCTCGCTTAAAATGCGATTTAGACAATTGTTACTAATATCGCTGTACACGTTTTGCGTTTCGCGCTTGGACTACGCAGTAGACTACGGAAAGCCGTAAGGATCAGAAGACCAAGCGATTTTCGAATCTGGTTTTCGACCTTCGATGTCTGATTTGTGGCACGTGCGCACCCCACCAAAAATCGCCCGCAACCAAAATACCGCATTCTGCAGGTACAACCACACCTAACTTAAGTCCCTTTGTTACTGTCCATTATAAGACTCGTATATATAATTAAATCATGTTTCTAAGTATAGATAATTTATGATATAATTAACTGTAATACTTCTGAATCGTTCTTGTAAGGTTATACCAGCCCCGTACCACTACCTGTAATACCCCTCTGCCCCTTCTCTCTACTCTTACTAATATGTGACTAGCTTTGTATATATAAGATATATATAGAAGGACGGAATCATGTCGGATTAGAGAATTAGTTACAGAGGATATACTTGGAATAGCTGGTTAGTAGGAGGCGTATCCGAAACCGGCAAAAATAAGTCAAGATATACGAAGTCACTGGTTCGTAGGAGGCCTGCCCGAAACCGGTAGTACCGAATAAGGATATACTTGGAATAGCCGGCCGGCAGGAGGTGCGTCCGAAACCGGTAGTAACAAATAAGGATATATATAGAGTCGCTAGTTAGTAAGAGGCGTATCCGAAACCGGCAGTAATAAGTAAAGATATATTACAGGATAACTCGGCATGGATCTATATCCAAAATAGAAACAGATAGTCTCACCGATTCTTCAATATAGAGGGGTTTTCCTATTATATTCTTATTCCCTAGATTACTATCTTTGCTCCCTTTTGCTCCCATTCTCAATCCAATCTCTTTAAAACTGCCTTATCCAAGACTTTATATATTATAATACTATGGCCTACTATAAAAAGTGCCAAAAGCAGAAGGGCATTAGCCCTTTTTATAGCCGCTATAGTACTATCTTTCCCTCCTCAAGCCCGACCGAATCTACCTCAGAGGAGGAGCATCTATAGAAGGCCCGTAAGCCAAAGCCGAAGCCTCTCGCCTCTCGCCCTTCCAAGAATAATAAGAGGGACGATAATAATAATAGTACTAAAGAGGTAGGTACTAGAAATTAGTATACCTATTAGGCCAAGTTCTAAAAGGATAAGGAAGAGAGAGAGAAGGAGGGGAAGGAGAAGCGAGTAAGGAAGGAGAGGGAAAGTCTCTAAAGGACTATTACTAGGGATACTTTTCGTAGTATATAGGAAGACGACCTCGCCTCTACTAGGAAGAAGAAGAAGAAATCAAGGCTCCAGGGAAGTACTTTGACTAAGGCTTATAGTTAGCGAGAGTTAAAAGCAAAGGAAGATAATAAAAGAAAGCATAATAAAGAAGGGCTAACCAGTGGATATAGCTATAATCCTGCCAATAAGCCTTTACTAATAGGCTTATTAATAACTATCTATTACTATATCGGCTACCCTGGGAAGCCGTTTAAGCAGACTGCCCCTTTGAAACTCCCATTTTTTCTCGACCCTTACGAGATATTCGTAAGGCTCAGTGGCTGGGTACTCAATCGCCTCCTAGAGTCTGATATCTGGAAAGGCGTTAGAAGGGCTAAATACTATAAACTTGACCTTGAGGATCAAAGCCTGACTATGGGCTACCTTACTAATAGGGTTGCCTGCTCCAAAGTTCCGGACTTCCCGGTTCTATTTAGAGAAAATCGCACTTTTAAATAGTTCCTTGAATATATAAAGAAGACATGTCCTAGTATAAACTATTAAGAGCCCAAACTCTACTTCCTTATTCCCGTTAAAAAAAAGTGGCCTTTACAGGATTATTAACCGTATAAAGGGCTAATAGTTAATTTAATAATAACCCCTGATACCGATAACTTGTCAAAAACCCTTAATACCAATAACTCTAATAGTAATATAATTGGAAACAATTATATATCTAAAAAGGAGCGGCATTAGTATTAAAGTGCCAGTGGAAAACTTGGTATTATCTATTAAGAGAACCACAAGAGATCTAAGTCTCCACAAACTCTAGCCGGTAAGCCTACTCTAGCCACTAAAACTCCAGCCCGTAAGCCCACCCCAGCCGCTAAAACTCTAGCCCGTAAGCCCACTCCAGCCACTGAAACTCTAGCCCGTAAGCCCACTCCAGCCGCTAAGCCTACTCCAGCCAGTAATTCAGAGGAGCCCTTTAACGAGGTATTCAATAAATAATATAAGTAGCTAAGGGAGTCTATAATAAAAGGTTATATTAATAGGTATTGGTATATATTAAAAAAGGGGCTAGCGGACCTTAAGAGGGAAAAGGAGTAATTTGAGGTACGAAAACAGAGCTTCGAAAAGGAAAGGGATACGGTAATCAAAGAAAGCAATACCTATATAGACAGGCTTAATAAGAGAGTACGGCTTTTAAAAGCTACAAAAGAGGAATTTGAAATTAAAAAACAAAGTCTCGCCGAAATCCATATAAAGAATCTTAAGAAGCTAAATACAAAGATGCTCTCTTTCCTTTCAGGAGATTCTCAAGGCAAGGCAGTTAAGGGAAGACAATTATCCATGAGTTCAAAGTATCTTAATAGTCTTACAAAAAAGGATTTGGAGATTACGGACTTGCAAGAGGAGGTGAGGCTTATAACAGAGGCTCTTTAATAAAGTCTCGACCATATGGTACGAAACGAGGAGGGGCTTGGCAAGCTAGTTATTTAGCAGGATAAGAGCGAAAGCTCGACGTCTACTATACAGGGAGCCTTTTAGGTAGCTATATAAGAGACCCAGGGCGAAAGCTCGGGGTCGGTAGTACCAGTAGTCCAGGAAGCTCAGGGCAAAGGCTCTGGATCTCTTGAGGCAGCTGGGCCTAATATTAATAAGAGCTCTCTATAGTCTGCTAAGGGCAAGG